GAATCCGTTTTGAGTTTGGCTGAACCTCCAGTGGGCACCACTGTTCCCTCTAAGCTGAGTTAGGTGTGAGCCAGCTCACAGTGTTTTAGCCTCCGGCCCACACATTTCTGTCTCAGCTCAGGAAGGATGGCTCCAGAGCAAACTAATTTATGCAGTAGCCAAATCGCCCGCTCACAACTTTAATGCCAGGAGCTCACAAAGTAGGATTTCTGCTCACAAGATTTTTTTTTGTTTATGGTAGTAGCCAGAATCTGAAATGAAAACACAGTAAAGAAAATGGAAAGGGGTGTGCACAGAACCTGAGTGGAGGGCCCAAAAGCCCATCCACTCTTTTCTGTCAGCACTAGACCCAACCTGTGTAAATTGGCCCACGTTTCATTACAGAGGGGTGAGTAGCAGCGTTCCCTCTAAGCTGAGTTAGTGTGAGCTAGCTCAGTGTTTTAGCCTCTGGCTCACACATTTTTGTCTTCGCTCAGGAAGGAGGGCTCCAGAGGCAAACTAATGTATGCGCTAGCCAAATCACTCATAACTTTAATGCCAGTAGTTCACAAAGTAGAATTTTTGCTCACAAGACTCCACAGTTTAGAGGGATCATTGGTGGGCACCATTTTAGGATGGCACTCAGTACCCCGTCTCAGGATTCCAAAGATACCCATGGGCTCAAAAATGTCGGAGACCCTGGTCTACTGTATATGAGGGATTCTTTGCCCAGGCAGCAAAATGTAGATCTGAAATGAGACTCTTACAGTGCCTTGCTTCGCACCTGAGATTTCTTGCAGGAGACGGGAAGGAGCCAGTCCCCTCGCCCGCTACAGCTGAAGCTCTTTCCTCTTGTCCCCCCTCCAGAGTCGTATCCGCAGGATGTGGAATGACACAGTCCGGAAACAGTCAGAGTCCTCCTTCATCACCGGTGATATAAACAGTTCGGCGTCACTTAACAGAGGTAATTATGGACTGTCAAAATATGTGTGACCTTTGAGATTGCTAAGGAGGCTGGAACGGCAGTACCTTTTCAGCTTTAGAACGAGACCTTCCTCCTTCCCTTAGACTAGTAAAAATTGTTACCACAGAGAATAAAAATATGCATTGTGCACTATAATTCATTAATTGAGAAGGTGGGAGTTTTTTTTCTTATTTCTGCTGCTTATTTTTTTTCAACATACATTTTCACAAATATTGTCTCTGGGAAGCCGTTGCGGCGGGCACGGAGGGCAGCGAGGCGGAATCTAGTCAGCCGCGGGTGCCGGGAATTGGAAGCTGTCAGGCTTCATCGCTAGCGATGAAATGGGCAATTACAAAACGATAGAGTCTGCAGAGACGTCGTCCCGAGCAGGGGGAAAAAAAGCAATTTCAAAGGCTTTGCAGAGGTGAAAACCTGCTGCCGAACACATACTTAAGGGGGGAACGACACAGTGTGGAACCGACTCATCTTCTCGGGGCCTGAAACGGATGCCTGACTAATGAGAGCTGTCCCGTGGCTGATAGGAAAAATATCTGTTAAAAAAATACACTGTAACCAAATCAAGTTAAATGAAATCTACAACCCGGGATAGTGTAAGGTGTTTGTCGACGCAAGCGGAACAACCGTATAAAAGCCCCTTGTTTGTGGTTGCCAGGTTGCAGCCCGGAAATCCCAGGTGGCTGTTCAACATCCCTGCAGCCAAATTTAGGGACAGTTTCTTCCACTCAACTCTTTTCTAGACCCACCCCCCTGGCCGTTTTTGCCTCCCAGATACATCATGTCAAAAAAGCCAGAGGAGGGGTCACAGTGTGGAGATTCATGCCAACAAACAAAAAACCCACTGTGATAAAATGAACAATGGCACATTTAATGATTCTGGGAGCATCGATTTGTGAAGCTATTAATCTGACAATATAGTTGGAGAATTCTGACATAAGCAAAGCAAAGTCCAACATAATCATATCCTCGATGAGCACACCGGTTTTTGCACACATTTCACCAATCTTCCTCTTGAGTAGAGCAAATGCCAGCCAATTTAAAGTAGGCCTGCTGCCACATAAAATTTTTGGACTGGCTGCTATGACTAGAAATTTAGTAATTGACTTGCTCCTATTCAAGCACTTGCAATGGAACTGAAAGTTAATTTGACAAAGAAGCAAATAAGAAGCTATATTGTTTTAAAAAAAGAAACTAAGCTGAACCTAGAGGTTGACACCTTCCAACTGTATAAGACTACTCATGAGGAAGATTGGTGAAATGTGTGCAAAAACCGGTATGCTCATCAAGGATATGATTCTGTTGGACTTTGCTTTGGTTATGTATCATTGTTAATTTTATCACAGTGGTTTTTTGTTTGTTGGCATGTCCCAGCAAGCAGGATCCTTGTTTTGCTCCTCATGAAATGGGGGAGGGGGCAGAGAGAATGGGAGAAGCCCCATTACGGGACACGCCGTAGCCTCTCTTACAGCCGCAGAGCATTTAAAGGGATAGGATGTGGCCGGGCATCCCTGCTTCTCTCTGGTTTCGTTTTGTTTCGGGGTTGGTTGGTTGGTTGGTTGGTTGGTTGGTTGGTTGGTTGGTTGGTTGGTTTTGCATGAAATGGTAGCATGGGAGTTTTTGACCTGCTCCGTTTTACTAGCCACCTGTGTTCGTCTCTCGCGACAAAGATAAACAGGAATCTAATAGCTTTTTAAAAGACTAGCAAAACTGAATGCCGGCATAAGCTTTTGTCGGGTACAGCCCACGTAGTCAGACGCCACAGGTGGATCCATGCTATGCGGACCTTTTACGTAGGGGCATGTGGAAAGGGGAGAGGGGAGTCTGCATCTGAAGAAGCTGCCCCTCTTGTCTGCAACAGTTTGTGCTGGAATAAAAAAATGACGGTTTTTAAGGAGACTCCTGTTTATTCATGCAGCTTAGGGTTTTCAAGGCACGAGCTGTTCAGCGGTGGTTTGCCATTGCCTGCCTTCGCACTGCAACCCTGGTATTCCTTGGTGGTCTCCCATCCAAGTATTAACCAGGGCCGATCCCGTTTAATTTCCAAGATCTGACGAGATCAGGCTGGCCTGGGCTATCCAGGTTAGGGCTTTATTTACACGGGGATTCTTAAAAGTCTCCCTATGTAGATTTTCTTTGTGCCACAGTCAGGAAATCTGTCATATTCCTGTCTTGTCTTCCATTGTCTGGTAGTTTGGTAATTGCAAGTGTATCTGATATCGAGTTAAGCTCCAGAGAAATTGACACCACTCAGAGCCAAAGTAGATGTGACAGTGTCCCCGAGTCCACGATAGGGACCCTTCTACCATTTTAGGAATGAAATCCCCTCTGTTTACAAAAGATGCAGGGGTCCGATTCTGCTCAGGACCACGGTGCAGGGGGGGAGATCTAAGAGCAGGTCCATGCTCCCATTCTCTCTGTCTCCGTCCGCTTGGTCATTCCAGCCTCTATAATCCGTCCAGATTAGTGACACTGCAGATCTGTGGGGTGTTGTTGCACTGCAAAAATTAGTATATGTCCGGAGTATTTAAGCCGAGAAAGGTATTTTATGTGTAAGCCACAGAGACATAAGAGAATCTGCGGAATGGGCAGTTAAGAAAATGAAAGCTAAAGGTGCTTCTAGCTTTTCTGTTCTGGCTTGGCATTGTTGTTTTGCAGACCCAGTACCTAAGACTTAGAACAGTGACTCAGCTAAGAGAGAGGGTGGGTGGTAGACAGCTTTGGCAGACAGCGGTTCTTCACATAAGCCAAAGTCTCTCTTTTCAAAGCAACCCAGCGTTTTCCTCTAGTTCCCTTGACCGCTCGAGCTGGGGAGGTCAGTTGAATGTTACCTGCACATTTAGATCTAAAGGACAGGTGAGCTTTGAAGCTGGCCTTCCAGGTGTGTGTCTTAATTGCATGGAGGCAGGTGAGATGAAGACACCTTTTTCCTGAGGACATAAAGTTAATTATAGGTACTTACTGACACTAAAGCTTATCCATCACTTGGGAAGGAGATATGCAGGAGCTGAAAGAGCAAATAGGTGTGGAGAAATTGTCATTGCATAGGAGACCCTGCAGAGGATGAATGGGTTGGAGCCGGTGGTTCTGTCAGGGATGGAGAGTGGAGAGGAAGTCCAGGGCCTCAGTCACCAGTGGGGGGTTGGGGGTGGTTTCAGTGCAGGTTGTACCTAGAGATGGGTGAGCTCCACCCAATGTAGTGGCAAGAGTGTCATGCTAGGATCTAGGAGACGAGGGATGCCAGCCCTCCCCCCGGTGGAGGCAGGGGATCCCCCACCATCAGGCCCTGCCCCTCCTTGTCTATCAGCTGACTGGCGGGGTACTTACCAGGAGCAGGAAGGAGGCCCAAGCTATGTCGCCGGCAATGCAGTAACTCCACTTCCGGCATATCCCAGAAGCGATCGCTAAAATCTCTATGTTAGAAGCCATTTTTACCATAGAGTTTTTGCCCAAATCCCAGCGCACCCCCGCAACGTTGCAACGTGATGACGTCTCTTCCGGGACACACCAGAAGTAACGTTGTGGGGTCACTGGCAACGTAGACTGGGCCTCCCTCCTCTCCTACTAAGTCCTCCTCATCCCCCATCACCGCTATGGGAGACCCCCACTAACCCTGTGGGAGACCCAGTTTGGAATTCTCAATCTGCCATGGAAACTTACTGGGGAACCTAGGGCTAGTCACACACTCTCAGCCTCACAGGATAGTTGTGAAGATAAAAGGGAGTAGAAGAGAATGATGTGAGCCACTTTTGGTCCCCATTGGGGGTCGGGGAATTGGGGTTTAAATGAAGTAAATATTTCTTCCATTCTTTCCTTCCCCCAGTGCATTCTGCAACTAAGGGCTCAGCTAGACATGGCAGCGTCCATGAGTCCACCATGAGTCCTCCTGGACAATGCCTCTGCCATTTTAGGGATGAAATTCCATCTGTTTACGAATGCTATGGGGGCCCTGCCCTGACCAGAACCCCAGCATGCGGGGAGGATGGCCTTTATCCCCACCACCACCGTTTTCAAGACCCCAAACCCCAAGGGTTCCCGTCATAGAGGCATTCCGATGGTAGAGGCATCCCTGTGGTAGAAGCGTCTCCATGATGGACTTGGGGATGTCGTCACATCTAGTTGAGGCCTTAGAGTTCCCAGAATGCCTGAAAATAAGGCACGGACAGGGGCGAACACCCTTAAGTCCAGAGCTTCAGGTTGCTGTGTAAAATTTCCTCCTTGCCCCACTGACTGCAGCTTCAGTGATCTGACATGTTCCTTCTCCGATTCTTCTGAGGCACACAAGTTCACAACTTGGCCCAGGTCCACATTTGCCAATCTTAAGTGGATGACTGTATCGGCAGTTGCAACTCTGAATGTCATCCAGTCTCAATATTTGAATAGATATTTCCCCCCCCTCTCTTAAATTTAGATCCTGTATTTTATGTGGATCTACAAAGACATAATCTGAAATGTACACAAGGGAGGGGAAAAAGGGATATTGTTGTCATCACTGTCTTCAAAGATAATAAGTTTAATGTCAATTTTATACGGATTCCTTCATAATGAGTAGAGCAAATTAATCTCGGATTCAAACAGCGGGAATCTGGGTCAGAGAAGAAATTAAAATGCAGAGCCGCAATATCCACTTTTCTTTATCCCGAGCATAACCCGAGTCTTTTCAGACTGAAATCTCCCATTACCTCTTCTCTTCCCAAATATAATTAAGCAGTGGTTTCTAGAACGGAAGGAGTCCGCTGTGCAGTAACTCAGAAGGAACGCCTGGGAGGGGAGGTAGGCATGCTTTTAAATTATCCCCTGATGAGGGCATATTTTTTGAACACTGATATTAAATTTCGGATTGTCATTCTGCTTCCAGCTAAAACGCGGGAAAGTGTCACATTTTTAACTCATGGGGGATGAGTTGGTAATTACAGTCCAAGAATCAGACCCTTTTTCATTTTGAAAACACACCGGTTCGAAGGTGTCAGCAGAGGCTGAGACTG